GGGGCATGTACAGTAGGCCATGAGTGGCCGACGTGCCGAGTGAACCCAGCTGGACTCCCCCCCCCCACTATGAGAATAAAAAAAAAATGTGTCTTGGTACTTGGACTTTGCTTTTTACTTAGTCGAAATGAAGTACTGTTCATCGGAAATTTCACAGTAATTTATTAAATGATGAAATCATAATAACTGCTTAAATTGCACATTATAAGGTTAAGAACTGTATATCTACAGTTTACAATATTCATAGATTAGCACGAAGGACTAGTTGCAAATTTCACAGCAATTTTGGCGCCCTTGTAGCGATAAGAATTTAAATACTCAATATATGATGGATTCTAAACGAGTAACTTAGGTACAAGCTACGAACAATTTGTTTTCCAAATTTTACATTTACATAGAATTTATGACCGGAAATTGCGTAACTATATAATTACGAGGTGTAAATTAATATGAAATATTCAGTGAAATAATCAGTATATATTTTGATTTTTTTGGCACCAACATGAATAATGAAAGTAAAATAAATTATATTGCGCTGTTAGACATTGGGGCATGCGGTAGCACAGTTGATTGAGGAACTATGATACTAGGCGGAAGGTCGCGGGTTCGAGTCCCGACGACGTGGATTTCTTTAATTTACATAATCCTTCCAGTCGCACTATGGCCCTGGGGTAGACTCAGCCTCTAACAGAAATGAGTACCAGGAATCTTCGTGGGGAGTAAAATGGGGCCGGCGCGTAAGGCTGCCAAACTTACCGCCATCTGTAAGAGGATTGTCTAGGTAAAATGTGGGAGCCTCGAAGTCTGACAACCCTATGGGCCTTCACGGTGTGTTACAGGGATAGCTTAATTTTTTATAATAGAATAGTACTGTACTGTAGGAATAGTAATTTAAATTGTATACCGGAGCTCAAAGTGTAAATTCTAGTGGACCCAATTAAGTACTCCTTGTTTAAAAAAGTGACAATAGTCGGTAAAGTCTAGAAACGACTTAACTATTTTCAGTTGACGCAACGGTGTATTTAACGTATGAACTTCAAACGCATTTAACACTATGCTTTGTGTAAATAGTTATTAAAGATAAGTTCTGTTGAAGTATTAGTGTGCATAGCTATTTATGTAAGCTTATATTTACTTATTTTAGAATATATAACTTATGTAGAGGTGTATATTAATGAATCGACACATATTTTTCTGATACATTACTCACTCCCACCAGTAGGGATAAATCATGTGTTTTATGTAATTAATTTTAGTAATAGTAGTGGAAGTTTTGAGTTTCGCTAATACCAACTAATTTTATTGCACATTTTCCGAAAGCAGTTTCGTCTTCAATTTTATTTAATTAGGAATTTTAATGTTATCCTCTCAATGCTGTCGTTTCTCTTTCCAAAAGCTTTTCTCATCGAAGTTAGATGTGTCCATCATATTTATCTAACTACATGGCTAGCCCATCGTAACATTTTGACTTGTCTATAATATATAAGTTAGAGAAATTTCTTAAGTTATTTTACGAAGTACCAAGTCAATACATTTAGGTTAAATACAATACCACGTAAATGTTCTTACTTTGCGACCTGTCTGCAAATTATTGCAATTTGCTTTGCGCTAAGGGTTATAAAAATAGCATGGCTGATTTGGGTATAAGAAATATGTATTTTATCTAAATTGGTAAGGTGATGTTATGTTGAAAGCAGTCTTCTGGGATTTGGCACCGTGTATATGTGGTGTTAACCGACGTTTCGGAGGAACGTATCGCCTCCATCTTCAGGGTAGAAGGGAAAAATATAAGAAATCCGCAAGCCAAGAGACCGTGAGAACCGGTAAAAGCAGACTGTGGCTGTGACAAGCAGGATATCAGTATCTGGTTCGCGCTTTGATATCGTGTGACCTTAACGTTTTTGTCGTGTGTTTGCGCGAGTGAAGGCGAACTGTGCTGTTGCATGTTTTGTGGGGACATTGAGCGCTAAGACAATACTAGTAATGTGAAATTACGAGTGTATTTTACGCGTTGATTTTCATGTACCTACGGGTAGCGTGTGTTTGATTGCAATGGTTCCCTAAGTGATAACGTTGTGACATTTTCAACGGAAGTAGCATCCACTCGATGAAGATTTCGAACCAAGGACTACGACAAGAGGAGCTCCTAGGAAACCATAACGCTGAGACCAAAACAGACGGCGGAACCTTAAGCGATTAAGGACCCATCTACAGGAGGATGTACGGGGTATTTGCAACAAATCAGGTACGCCATAACATCGGCACGGTCTTGTCATGTCAGTGCGGTCCCGGGCTGGTCATGGTAATGACTCAAAGTAGTACTGTGACAGGCAACTCTCTGGCAGCCTCCATGACTCGAGGCTTAAGTTGTCAGGTTGCAGCTCTGTGGAAGCGATTTCTTTTCTTAGCTATTGGTTTGTAAGATGTCGTTTTCCCTCCACGTTAGGCTCCCAGTGAAAGATTTCTACAGAGGCGATGTCAATTTAGATTTGCGTCCACTTTATACCTCAGTTCTAGTTTTCAGATGTAACATAGCTGGTCCTTTACATGCATTTCAAATTCCACTTTCATATACGGTCTTACACAAGCCAAGGCAATGGTTCTATTGAATCTTACGGCTATACAACGTCTCTCAGTGCAGTTAAAAAAAAAAGGCCATTATTTACCCGGAACTTCTCCACTTTTAAAACAACAATTACTGGTACACTACAGTCTTATATATGTGAAATAGGGAAAGGGCCGCGCCATAGCTGAAGCAGTTAGTCGCTGGCTTCCAATCGCGGCGCCTGGGTTCGATCCCAGGGTCTGGTCAAGTGGCATTTGTGGTGGACAAAGTGGCGCTGGGTCAGGTTTTCTCCCAGTACTCCCGTTTCCCCTGCCAATCTTCATTCCACCAATTGCTCCACAATCACCCTCACCTATCATCTGGGGCTGGTACAATAGGCCAGAAGTGGCCGCAGTACAAGGGACTTAGTCCCACCCCACTAGCAACAAAAATTGGACAAGAATAAATCACTGATTGTGTTGCCAGCTACTGAAAATTATTTTTAATTTATTATTTATTATTATTTTTCATGGCTGTCAAGATTTGAGGCACTCCACTACAAGGACTCACTCGCAGTAAAGTCTATTGTTTATTGCATAAAAATCACAACAAATTCAGCCTCTTAACCCAAAGAAGAAGCCCACATGCATTTTATTTATCTTTATTACAAGGAACTAAATCACAGAACACAGTTGTATACAGCAATTTATATGCATATTTAAACGTGCAATTTAGTGCAAGAGAAGTAAGGTATTTCTTGATTGGAATATAATTAAAACACACTTGAATACGTTTAAATTATCGAATACATGACTTCTAATCGGGCTACATAATTTTCTGAATTGAGTAAAACACATATTTGAACTAACAATAGAAATACATTTTTGTTTCCAGTTAGAAATATGTTCTTGGAGATGATTTCGCAGTTTTCTTTTCTGATGCGGTGTCCGAATTTCTCGCCAGACTTGTTCTTGTTTACAGACTTCCTGTAGATATTGCGAAACCCATACGGTTTTTTGTTGAGTCGAATACAGATATAAAATGATCAATAAAGAAATCTCCTATTTGGAAAACAGTCGCATGGTCAGAAGGAGAGAAACCGGAATAGCACAAAGAACCCTGTAACACAACATATATAATGACAGTAACAGCAAAAGCGTATCTGGAAGATCTATCAGTTAGCTTACTCCTTCATTGTAGAAATGATATTCCTGGCTTTGCAGTTTACAGATATAACGTAAACAAAAGAAACCCTAGTTAACAGACTGAATGAGTATGTAAGCAAAACGATTACAGGCAATTCTGTTGTAAGATTTGAGGCTTTCACGGCGGTGACTATGAAGAAAGCAGTCTTCTGGGATTTGGCACCGTGTATATGTGGTGTTAACCGACGTTTCGGAGGAACGTATCGCCCCCATCTTCAGGGTAGAAGGAAAAATATAAGAAATCCGCAAGCGAAGAGACCGTGAGAACCGGTGAAAGCAGACTGCAGATTTTTCCTTCTACCCTGAAGATGGAGGCCATAAGTTCCTCCGAAACGTCGGTTAACACCACATATACACGGTGCCAAATCCCAGAAGACTATTTCTTCAATTCTGTTGTAAGTTTTAGCAAAATAATGGCACGGAAGTCAGACTTTTTTTTTTTGAGTGTAATCGCCGCGTTTTGAATATATTTTGTCACACGTTTCCTGATTTCTTCAGGATGCACTTGTTTTGGTTTAACCTTGGACCATTAACTGCATGTCATTCTGATGCTCAGTTCAGATGCATAAATGAAGTTTATTCAGTTTTGATTATTCTCCTCATGCATAGTCCTACGCTGAACAGTGTGGTTTCAGTAGTAGTGGCAAGATGTCTAGAACATCGCTTGACCACCATTTTTTTAATCTTTCCATCGGTTCGTAAACGTTCCTTTGACTAACACAGTTATCAGAATAGTTAAAAGTGTCGTTCTCCAACGGATTGCATTAGATCTTTTTTACTTTACCAATCGGATCATCGGTTGTTCTCCACTGGTGCATTCTGTCATTGAAGCACGCATGGTTTTAAGATTTTCAAAACAATTTATTATTGAATTGATCTGTGTGATGATAATAAAAAAAATAATAATAATAACAATAAGGAATTATTAAATTCCTTATTATTTATGTGCCGAGTCAACAGCCGCAAGGCCAATCACAGAGAGAGCACAGTGTAGATAAAAGTAATTACATTATAGACAAACTCAATATAAAGTCAAAGACAAATTACAGGCAATCATTGGGGAAAACACAATAATGTAGAAAAGTAAACAAACAAACAATGATAATAATAACAACAATAATAATAATTTCTTTAACATAAATGTAAGTGTTATTAAGAAGTGAGAAATGAAACATAAATATTTAATTAAGAAATGAAAAGTATAGATTTTCAAAAGATAATAATAATTCTGTTGATTGTACATGCAAATAATAATAATACTAACAATTATACTATATTTAAGAATCGTTTGGGGAGAACATTCCTGGCTCCGGATAGGTCAACATCCCTGCATACAACATTAGCAGCCGCTGCACGTCTAGCAGAGGGACAATTTTTAGATGAGGAGCAAACACTGAACAATGCAAAGTCTGTGATGTACCGAGCAGGAACTCTGAGACCAACAATTTCCAGAACAGAAGGGCAGAATTTCGAGCCAAAATAAACGTGAATAAGAAAGAGAGCATCAAGGCGAATAATAATAATAATAAGAACAATAATATGGAACAATGTGCACTAGCACGGTCTTGTTTGTTAGAATATTATTATACAAAACCTTCTGGATAGAGGCCTTGGCAAAGCAGAGGAAAGGCAGTCGGGTAGCTCCCATACATAACTTACTAACGAGCTACAACTGCTGTAATTAGTGGACAGATTTGTCTAAATATGAATTCAATAAAACTGTCAGCTTTTAATTAGTCTTTACGTATCTGCAAAACTGTATGTTAATTACATTTATAAATACGAGAAAGCAAGACGAAAGAAAAGAAACATTTATATGGGGAACATACAAATATGCGGAAATCAGAATTTGGAAAAATAACAATTATTAACATTTGCGTTGAAACTGCTTTCGCAGGCGGTCTAGGTGTTGGATTTTGATTGCTTTTGTGCTTGAATATCTGCTTAGTCTATTAAATCAGAAAAGTGTAACATTAAATTAACACCGTTTTCAAACCATACGCACTTCAGTGTTGTTGCAGACAAAAGACGAGATACTAGTTTGAAACCGATCTGTAAGGTGCGATGGGAATAGCAGGCATATTGAGTGTAGCAGTATGATGAAAGTAGTAGCCACTTACTTGTTGCTGAACATGGTATTCTGCACTGATGTTGAAATGTCTACCGCCAATTACTAAGGTCACGTCTGGTAGAGACTCAATCTCGCTGCAGTTGAACTGAAAAGCGAGAAATACTCAGTAATGTGACAATACAGTATTTGTGTTTAGAACACCCCCGCAGTGTACTGTCTTGAAGCAATTATTGAAATATTCGATTTTTGGAGTGGTAAAATTTAAGATCTAAAAGAAATATATCACGTACATTTCTTGCAGGTGCATTTTGGAAAAGAGAACGCCTGTTTGCTCCGTTATGCCACTCCTCATCAGGGCCCATATCACCTGACCAATTTAGGCAAATTCTGTATGGTGAGCCTCCGCTAAATTCATTGGAGCAATGTCAGTATCACGTTAATTAATTGCTTTACATAAGGGCCTTCATGAACTACATTTTGGACCTGTATGCATCGTAATATGCAAATCGCCTCAGGCGGTAATGCTTCTGGCTTATATTTGTGAGGTTTTTGGTTCGAATATTGACAGAAAAACCAGTTTTCTGAACGAGTTCTTTTTCTTCTCCGTCGCTCCAGGCAAATGCCACTACATCGAATTAGGTCACAGCTGTTTCATTTCACAGCCTTCCCAATTGAATTTTCAGCAACCACACTTTCAGTCGAAGCTATGTTATGAATTAATGACAACGTAGTTAAATAAACCATAAATACATAAATAAATAATATATATATACATCTTCTGCCCCTTTGGACACTCTGAAATATCTCAATATATGGCACGTATATTATGTGAAATTTTAATTAGACAGAAATCTCACATTGCTTATGGAGTTAATACATTTTTATTTCTATGTCACTAAGTACGATATATTACCTGAATAAGGAATTTTTGTGTCTTATGCAACCTGTGTACAGAACTCATTTCTAGACTGTCACACGGGGTGTTCATTTTAAAGCTATCCGGCAAAATTATACAAAGAACAACGCTTAATATGTACAATAATCTACAGCATCCAGTTAATTCTTATAGTATACGAACTATTTTCTGGCATAATAATATTACAAGACAAAACAAACAAACTCCGTGGCCTGTAGTCCGCAAGCTAACTATACCGACCGAGCAACCGCCGCTTGTCGGCGAAGTTAGTACTAACTTTTGAGGATAGAGGGTGTCGCGTGGTCAGCGCAACTGATCTCCACGGCCGTTGATCTCGGCTTTCTAGACCGGAAGCATAATAATACTGAACAACAAAAATGATTTTCTCAGAAGTAAGATCTTGATCAAGATACCACTCGCTGCTGAGTTGCGTCACACTGAATAAAAGAGATCTGTCCATTTTCTAAATGTTTTGCAGCACCGATATGCATACGTGTTGCTGGATACCCATCCTGTGATCAGTCGCATCTCGCAAATACGGGAAGTGTGGATTTCGGTTTCGTGATGCAGCGAACACACTGTACGTATAACAAAGTAACCTATCAGGTTACTTTAAATTAAGTTCCGCTATTATTTGCTCCACCTCACCGCTTCTCGCGTCAGCCACGTTCATGTTACTGAATGTACGATATTATAAAATATGATGTTGACCTCCCATGACACAAAATTTATGACAAGTTTCTTGAAAATCAACCAACTTTTTTCAGAATTCGGAATTAGGACTCTGTAACCGTCGTTTGCCACTCTTGGCGCAACCGTTGCTGGTCGCCACTGTTTCTATATAACCGCTCTTCCCTGCCCACATTTGGGAGCGACTTGTTTCTAACCGTTCCCTCTCACCTGTTGGGGTGTCGAGTTTGTAGGTTGCTGCCCCGTCCTTCTTATCCACCTCTTCTTCCCCTTATTGTTGTTATTGTGAATGTTGACGGGATTTGGGTTATAGTGAGGGATGGGCGCCAGTAAGCTTATTATAAAGGCTTAATATTCTGGAATAAAGGGGGGACGAACCGGAAACTACTGGTGATAGGTAGTGATTTAGCACTAGGGCAATGAGAGTCAGTCTCAGGTTTATCCAGGCCTCGCGTTAGCGGGCAGACAAGACTGACTAATGCTAGGCACTATAGAACACTGGTTAATGAGCAGTTTTAATATTTCAATGAGTAACATTGGTTCTAATGCTAGTTAGATTCTGACTTAAGACATCTATTTAATATGATTGGCAACTGTTCTAGTAACACACTTAAAAATAATTTTACTTTCTACTTAAACACTTAAACAAAACTTGGAATCACACTAATTTTGCGGCTATATCCTTGGCGAGTTATTAAGCGACTACTTTTGCAGACTGACTCTGCTTTGAGGCAAGAAGCCTTCACAGCTTCAGCTCCCCCTCCAAGTTACTACCCTAAATTCTGCTGATTGAAACAATCTGAATATTGGGAGTTTACTGTAATTCTCACTGCTCCAATCATCTTCTTGTTTCAAGCGACTTTCACCCTTGATGACGTAACGGACTTTTTGACAGTTGCTTGAAAAATTATACAGTAGCGTACTTTGCGGGCCTTCCCACTTTTGACTTGCTGGGTTCAAAACCTATCAAGTGTAACTTTACCAAAGGATCCTGCCGGTCAACTTTCGAACTGAATTTCCTGGAAAACTCTGCAGGGTACTTCCTGCCTTGTCTTTGTAACAGTGAAGCAGGCCCTATTCTTGAAACCAAGAATCGGGCTAAGTCACCCTTGAATGTTCCTTACTACACCCTATGCGTAATTACTATAATAAAAGTTAATTACAAATAAAGCTGGTGGTGTCAGTGGTACGGCTACAACTCATACACACATACTCAAATGCAAATACACGTACACAGCAGGGGAATCCCATAAACCTACGACTTCTTATCTTAAGGAAGGAAGAATTCAAGAACGACCCAGATATGTACAGAAATATTAGACATATGTTCAAGCCTTTCAGACTGAATATATATTTTCTATTTCAGAAGTTACTTTTTACCTTTTCCTAGAGTTTTCTCTAGAAATAACATTGATAATGTACTTAATACACATAGGCTTATTAAATTACCTTGCATATGTTTGAGGAACCTTGGAGCCCCTTCGTACACCCCAGTTTTTCGTTTATCTTGTTAATTTCTGCAGTTGGTCCAACGATGACAGATTTGCTCGAGTCAATGAAACCCCTCGTGTTGTTGACGACTACTTCATTGCCGACTTGCAGGCTGTATGACAAAAATGTGTAAAGCAGCTGATAAAGTGCCCGTTCTTCCACCGGAGTAAGAAGTAAAAGTTAGTAAAGCTATCCCTGTAACAGGCCGTAAAGACCCATAGGCTTGTGAGACGTTGAGGGTCCCACACTATTGTATTGTATTGTATTGGAGAGGGTGGGTTTCCCCATGCACTTAGACCAACTGTTGGTCCATTGTGCATCCCCCTATGATATTCCACCAGTCTCTATTCCCTACCGGTACTGGTGCGTGCAATCAGTCCCGACTCAGCCAGCGAGTTCGGTCTCTACTGGCTCAGCGGCATCTCGATGCTTCCCCCATCTACCAGAGGCGTTAGAGACTACTTTTGGGCGGGAAATGTCCTGAATTTGGCTCAGTGGTCCCCTTGGGACATGAGGTCCTTTTACGTGCCGTAAAGCTATGACACGGGACCCACAGCTTAAAGTCCCTCCCGGAGAACTTGTTCCCTGAATTTTTCCGCCCTTAAAAATTCCACCACCTCCGCCGGGTTTGAACCCGCGTACCCTGAGTCACGAGGTGGGAACGTTACCCCTAGACTACGGAGGCCCTCTATCTAGACAATCGGCTCACAGATGGCAGCAAAGTTGTCAGCCTTACGCGCCGGCCGCCCTTTACCCCCAGGAATATTCTTGGTACTCATTTCTGTTAGAGGCTGAGTCGACCCTAAGGCCGTATTGCGGCTGGAAGGATTAGGTCAATTGAAAAAAATCCAATGACCTCATCGGGACTTGAACCCGCGACCTTCCGTCTTGTAGCACAGTGCCTCAACCAACTACACTACCGCGTGACCCCAATTACTCTTAAAAATAATCTATACTTAAATAATGAAACTGCTACACTGAATGTCGTCATGGCACATTTTCTTAATAATTCTCACTTAATGATTGTAATTAGATTCATGTTGGATTAATCATTAATCATGCTCCTTTAATACTCTTCACAAGTAATGTATACAGTATCATTATGGTTTAAAGTCTCAACTAAAACATGAAATTTAGAGCACTGCATATTTCTGAGGATGTCGGTTTCCACTCCCAATTCTCATCCCATGAGCCGCTCCACGTTCGTTAATCATTTCATCATTTATACTGTATAGTCTCGTCACTGACAAAGTAGTTAAATAAGTAACTTCAGCATATAAACACACAGCATATTTTTTATAATAACATTAAATTAAAGTTCCGTAAATAAAAACTATCACACCACATCTCTTTGTATTATTTACAGCAGAGATACCACATATTGACAATGTCTGTAAATATCACGTGCACCGATTTATGCGTTCAACCGTATATGGTGTCCTAGCTACAGACAGCCGTGGCTCCATGCACTGAAAGCCAGAATGTTTCATATTGTAGAGCCAGGTGAGGGGTTTGAGAGTGGCTCAATGTAGACTCTATTTCATGTTTCGGTGTAGAAACTACAAGGGCGCGAGAGAAAGAGAGACAGAGAGAGACAGAGACACAGGCACATAGAGATAGAGAGTAAGCATGTCTAATAATTCTGTTTTAAATCTCACCAATAAACATAACAACAAACCAAACATTTCCGTGTAATTATTATCACACATGTTTTATGTTACAGAGGCAGTCTGCTCGAATCCCAGTCGGGCTACAGACTATGCAGATTGAAGTTCAGTGGTTTTGTAGATTCCTCCAGACATATTTCATATTTGCCTAAAATATTTTTTTTTTAAATTCGATTAGTGAGGGGTGGAGTCCAGCTAGGCCCACTTGGCACGACGGCCACTGATTGGCCTATTGTAGCCTGCCCCGGGTGATTATGATGATGGATAATTTGGCGGAATGAAGATTGGCAGGGGAAACCGAAGTACTCGGAGAAAACCCGCCCCAACGCCACATTGTCCACCACAAATCCCACTTGACCAGACCCGGAATCGAACCCGGGCCGCCGCGGTGAGAACCCAGCGACTAATCGCTTGAGCTGTGGCACGGGTTTGCCTAAAATAAGTCACGACAGTTTTGTTACACGTGCTTCTCACTTAATTTTCCGTAATTTCCATGCTGTTCATTATTCCATACGTAGAACAGGGACAAAGAAACAAACGTAGACAATTTGTGGACATGTTAGGCCAGTTAGTGAGGATATTGGCTGGATATTGAAAGCTTGAAGTTCACTTGTAATTTGTAAAATGAACTTATTCCGTATGTCATCTGGAATGGTTCTCAGATCGAGTCTGCAGCCTATCAAAAAAATTGGGGAGAGTTTCCCTTGAGGATCCGAAGGTTCCAGAGCTCGTGATCTTTTTTAGAAAATGTATGGTCTCCTAGTTACTAATTAAGCAGTTTACGGGACTAGAAAATAGTTAATTGTTCAGAAGAACAGGCCACTTGAATCTCGCACTTTAGTATTAATCCACAGTCCATGCCTAGGTATTCTAATTTGCCATAAGATTTCCCGACGAATATTGTGTATATAGTTATCATTTCCTGTCTCATCCTATATGATTTTAGCCTCTTAATCATATAAGGCGAAGAGCATGAACAATGAATCTTTTCGTTCAATTTTTTGGATCTCCCTGATATTTCTGTTTCTTAGATTCAAATATTCAATTCAGCGCCATTTTCTCAAATATATTCTTCGCATATAAGATCTAACGGTTTGTGACAATGGTATATTGCTACAAGTATTATGTTTTTGGACATTATACATCGTCCTGTCTATTGTCTAAAAAACCGTCCTGCTTTCTTTTCAAAACAACGTTTCGGAGACCAGATTCTCTCTCCGTCTTCAGGTAAAACCTACTCAGTTGGGTCCAATAGACAGAGTTACCCAATTGAGTAGGTTTTACCTGAGGACTGGGACAGAATTCGGTCTCCGAAACGTTGTTTTGAAAAGGAAGCAGGACGGTTTTTTAGGCAATAGACAGGACGATGCATAATGTCCAAAAACATAATACTTATATTCTTTGCATGTTTTTTTTTTTCGCTCTCATCACTCCTGGAACCTAATGGTGTCAGAAAATTTCTTAAAAGATCTCATTGGATAGGTCCGTCCCTGTGTTCACTTCATGATTGCTGAAGTATCTAGTGCGAGCCCTGAAGATGTCAAGATTGCTTACAGCATCCAAAGTTTCTTGTCACAGTTATAAAGGAAATTATGATGAAGGATCAATCTGTGTAGGAGGCAGACTGATAAAGAATGAGAATAAGAATGATAGTAAGATTTCTTTCCGAATCTAATGCTTTCTTATTTCCTTTTGTTTTCGTTTCTGAAAGATTTTAACTTTTATATATTTTCAGAGGAGTTATTAGACAACTTTTTCTTACAGTTTTATCCTGCATTCTGGTGATGCGACGCGAGTACATGCTAAATGTTCTCCTCGTTTTTTTTCTAGAAAACCCTCCTCAGTAACGTTTAATAGCGTTCATATCGTTTTATTTATTGTAATTGCGGTTTTGTCCATAAATAACGACATCATTGTAGCCCAGAAACTGACGTGACAGTAACATGCAACAAAAGCGGCCTCCGTAGTCTAGAGGTAACGTTCCCACCTCATGACTCGTAGTACGCGGGTTAAAATACCCGGCGGAGTTCGTCAAATTTTTAAGGGCGGAAAAATTCAGGGAACAAGTCCTCCGGGAGGGACTTTAAGCCGTGGGTCCCGTGTCGTAGCTTTACGGCACGTAAAAGAACCTCATATATCCAAAGGAGGTCACTGCCAAATTAACGGACGTTTCCCGCCCAACAGCAGTCTCTAATACCTCTGGTAGATGGGGGAAGCATTATAGATACCTCTCAGCTAGTAGAGCCGGTCTCGCTGGCTGGGCGGGACTGATGGTAAGCACCAGTACCGGTAGGATATATAGACTGGTAGAAATCATAGAGGGAAGCACAATGGACCAATGCAGGTCTAAGTGCATGGGGAAACCCACCCTCCCCAATAACTAACTAACTAACATGCAACAAATGATTTGTCGCCTATAGAACAACTAAGATATGAACCTGTCTCCAGTCGCAAGAACTGCTGAGCGACTTCTGTTGTGAAATATTTTCATGTGCTTTTAATGTTAATCAAGTAAAAATACCACATATACTTGCTCAACTTCCAACTTACGAGTCCAACTTGAAGTTCCATGTACTCGAATCAATCAGTGGCACGTATGTGAGTTTTCCTTTGTAGTGTCTCTGGAACACGCCTCCGAAGATGATTTCTCCGACGTATTCCCCATCAGGACGTCTGCAAACATCCAGGCAATATATGTATATGTATATCAAATTCCGTGGCTTTATTCCACAAGCAAATTATACCGACCGAGCGACCGCTGCTTGTCGAATTTAGTGCCAACTTTAGCGGATAGAGGGTGTTGCGTGGTCAGCACAACGAATCCCCGCGGCCGTTAATTTCGGTTTTCTAGACCGAAATATGTATATATACAGTATCCCAGATTTTATTATATAGAGCATTCCTTTCTTAAGGTGATGTTATGCATGTAGTCCAGGATTAATTTGCATTAATCACAATCTTTTGGGGAATTAGAATATGTCAGAAGTACATATATGGGATGACACCTGGACAGAAGAAGTATGAACTGACAGAATTATAGGCATTATATTGGGATAGAGATTATAATCCGAAACGATTTTAGACATATTAATTTTTGGATAATTTGCGAAATTTTAGACACTATTAATTTCTGTATGTGAAACGAACGACTTGAAATGAAGTCATTCGCTGAAATAAACATCAAGAAATGAAGAGTAATTTAATTGACCGTGGAAGGTTCAAGTGGTTAAGGTACTATGCTACAAGCCGGAAGGTCGCGGGTTCAAGTCCCGATGAGGTCATTGGATTTTTTTTTCAATGGATCTATTCCTTCCGGCCGCACTAGGCCCTGTTGTTTACTCAGCCTCTAACAGAAATGAGTACCAGGAATTAATTAAATAATTTTCCTGGGGAGTGAAGCGCGGCGCGTAAAGCTGACAACCTTACCGCCATCTTTGAGCCGATTGTCAAGGTAATGTGGGACCCTTAGCGTCTCACAACCCTGTGGGTCTTCAGGACCTGTTACAGGGATAGCTTTACTTTTTTACTTTTTACTTATTCCCAAGAATGCAACCTAGGTTCGTGTTGTATAACATCTGGACTGAATTTAATTGTACTATTTACCTGGCGTGATAAATTGAGAAGACACCTTCAATTTCTCCTCGACTGACGAATGTTTCGAGCACTGTGGGCAGATTAAATGCAGCTCTTTTTGATTTTGGTCGACCCAGTCCTGCAACACCATCAGCGTCCAAGAAGCAGATCTCGGATGAGATGTCCGTAGCCAGTACAAACCCTTGTTCCGGCGCATTGAGCGTACTGATCTGATACAAATATTAACGAAGAAAATATCATCAGCTGCAGAAGAAATTCTTGGGGTGACGAATATTTCGCATTAATATACAAGGTGTGGCAATAAAGAAACCGGATTCATGCTCTAACCCTTTATTAAAAAAAAATCAGACAGTCGAAATGTTATCCCCTTCAATGTAGTCCCCTCCCCGATCCCTACACCGCTCCATGCGAATTTTCCACTGTTGGAAGCAGTGCTGCAGGTCATCTTGTGTTATGCTCTTCAAGAGTTGCGTCGCTTTTGCTTTCACTGCATCCACGGACTCGAACCTGGTCCCTTTCAGCGCAGACTTG